GACCTATGAAGCCAGGCTTCATAAACTGGGCTTGTTTAGTTTGGAAAAAAGAAGATTAAGGGGGGACATGATAGCGGTTTTCAAATATCTAAAAGGGTGTCACAAGGAGGAAGGAGAAAATTTGTTCCTCTTGGTTTCTGAGGACAGGACAAGGAGTAATGGGCTTAAAGTGCAGCAGGGGAGGTTTAGATTGGACATTAGGAAAAAATTCCTAACTGTCAGGGTGGTCAAATATTGGAATAAATTGCCAAGGGAGGTGGTGGACTCTCCCTCTCTGGAGATATTTAAGAACAGGTTAGATAGACATCTGTCAGGGATGGTGTAGGTGGAGCTTGGTCCTGCCTTGAGGGCGGGGGGCTGGACTCGATGACCTCTTGAGGTCCCTTCCAGTCCTATTATTCTATGATTCTATGATGACTTTGTATAGAAGCAATATGGTATTTTGTCTCATCTATTCCTTTCCTAATGATTCCCAATATTCTGTTAGCTTTTTAGTTTTTAGACTGCCACTGCTCCTTGAGCAGATGTTTTAGGGAACTATCCACAAGGATTCCAAGATCTCTTCCTTCAGTGGTAACAGATATATTAGATCCCCATGAATTTTGTATCTATAGGTAGGATTATATTCATCCATGTGCATTACTTAGCACTTACGAACATTGAATTCCATCTCCCTAGTGTTGCCCAATTTTATGGGATACCTTTGTGACTCTTTGCAGTCAGCTTTGGATTCGTCACTGTTTACCTCCTTTTCCAAGAACATTTATGAGAAGTTTAACAGCAGTGGTCCAAATGCAGATCCCTGCAGCACAACACTCATTCCTACTCTTTCTCCCTCCCACCCCTCCCATCTTTTAAGTGGAGTACCCGGCAATGTTTTCGTGATGACCTAACAATCCTTCAACTGCTAGAATGCCCAGCTTGTTGTTGTTATTAATAACCCTGCCTCTCTCTTTTTATAACAAACTCCCTGCCCCAAAGGCAAAACTGAGAGCAGCTCAAACTCTGTTGCACTTAAGAACTGTCTCGAGAGTCACGACAGGGACTTTAAGAAGATCTGAAGTATGAAATCCAGGGGTTCAAACTTCCCCTTAGCTCCCCATAAATGGCACCCCTGAGTCTCAGGCACCACCCATCCATATCCTCTGACAGCCAGCAGACAAGTCACCAGTGGACATCACTCCCACTCCTTCATGATCACAAATAAGATCATCTCTTTCTCCCGCCACACAGACATATGTAGAAGCCTTGTGTCTCCTTGCCCCATAGTGAAAAGTCTCCATGGGACAAGGTTACATTTGCAGCTCTAACTCTGTAAAGGGCTAGGAATTCCATTAAAATAAAAAACAAAACAAAAAAAAGGTTAGGCCTAAGCTAGTCAAAAGTTTTGCAACAGAACATTTTTTCCTTGGAAAATGTCTGTGTCAGAACTGAAGTTTCTACTGATAAAATGTCAATAGTGGTAATATTTCTTTAGATAAATGTTAAAACGTTTTGTTTTGACACTTTTACACTAGAACATTTTGATTTTGTTTTAAATCAGTTTGTATTATATAAATCAGTTTGCATTATATAAATAAATTTAAAAACTGAAACACAAACAAAATATTTTGAATGATCCAGTACATTTTTTTTTTAAATCTTGCTTTGTGGCAAATGTTGAAATTTGACATTTCCTTCCCATTGAGAATGAAAAAAAAACATTCAATATTGTAGAATTTCCCACAAACCACAAATTCTGGCTCTTACACAGCTTTTCTTAGGGCTAGCAGAAGACCACTGCCAACTTAACTCCCCAGAGCCTACCAGAATTCATACTGTACTTCCAAAAAATTAATAAAACAAGAAATATTTTATTTTGTACACTTAAATTAGGATGATACTTCATATTAGTTATTATTAGTTTACTAAACTGAATTATATGTTTTTCATGTGTTACTTTTTTTGTTGTGAAGTGTCAAATACTTTAGACATTTCCAACTTGAGAAAAGCTCATTGTCTTTGTTGAAATTACTTCCAATTTCCTACACAACAAGAAACGTGGTTGGCCTAGGTGATCTGATCATTTTTGTCAATTTTAGAGAGCACACGGTGCTCAGTTTTTATCTGAAACAACTGTAGCCTTTACTGCATTACAGTGAATGGTCCAGAAACTGAGACTTCCTAAACCACACTGTTAAGTGCTTACTAATGTGGGATAATTTTTCTATCCATCAAAAATTCATCAAATCATTCCACAACTAAGCATAAAATGTAAACCCAAGCACATGATTCACATTTATAAAAAAAAACTGTAATTATCAACCCAAAATAAAGTAATTCTCTACTAACACAGGGGGATTTTTGAAGTGTGCAAACTGCAGTTGCTTCAGTGTCCAGCTGTTTATTCTGCTCAGCAATTAGTACAATTAGAAGTGCACATATTAATGAATCACATGAAATCTAGCAGCGGTGAAGAAAAGCCTGCTGCCTTTGGTCTGCTGATGGAAACATTACTTAAACAATGTACTACTCCTGTTTGGTAGCCATTTTAAGTAGAATCATCACAAGAATCACTGCAGTTCAGAACAGCCACAAAAAGGCTAGCAAGACATTCCCCACAGATCTAATTGTGAGTCTGTTTATCTAGACCATTGTTTCTCAACCAGTGGTCCGAGTACCCTTAGGGGTACTTGAGAGAAGTCTGGGGGGGTACGTTAAGACAACTGAAATTTGGAGAAAACTGAATTTTTGTTTTAAGTTTTACATCATTTTATTACTTCTGTACTTTTTACACCCAAATATTTTATTGCCTACCCAGCTACAATTAAGTTGTTTAAACAAATGTGTAGCAATGGTAAAAAAAAATCGTGTGTGTCTTAAAACTATAGGTACTGGGGGTACTTGTAATTTTTTTTTAAAAGGGGGTACTTGTAATTTTATTTTTTTAATGGGTACTTTATTAAAAAAAGGTTGACACGCACTGATCAGACAGCCCGCCTCAAATGGAATGAAGATCCATGACTACACAAACGTATTAATAAACTTCCATTTGTGGGGACAGAGGTTGGCTAAAGGAACTGCCTTCTTCCAGATTTCCATGACTGCCAAATAATGCTAAGTACAATATTAAATACTATACTGTACTTCTAAGCCAAAATAAGCATATTCTCAATGTCTTTTCAAGAAAAAAAGTTCCAGTCTTCTACATTGTATCCGTGACAATTTTCATTTTGCAGCTATTTTCCCATTATCTTCCACAGTAAATGTAAGTATGGCATTATCAATGCTAGAGTAAACACCTAATATGTTGCGCACACATTTTCTGTATAATGCATCAAAGTGACATACCAACCTATCTTCCCATGCCATATATTGTAACACCATAATGGATTTTTTTTTTTGAGTATCAAAGGAAAGTGGTTAAGTTATAAAAAGTTTGTTCATAAAAGTATATTAAATATTTGATCAAGAAAAGATGTTTGGAAGGTCACAGACCAGTTAAAAAAAGCTTTCAGACTTGTAGAAATAACAATCTGCTAGCTAAATTTAAACACAGGCCCTCAAAGACCTTCTTTCAGTAGGTTGTATCTGACAGTTCAAACTTTTTTCTGTTTTTTTCTTCAAAAAAAATTAACACAAAGGTAGAAAACACACAAAGTAAGTCTGATGCGCAATAATTCATAATCTGACCCTTTTTGATTTTGGCATTGCCTCACAGAAAGACTGGGTGACATGGTAACTCTGACTCAGTTTCCCCTCTTTGTCGGCTTGCCTACCTGCTAGTATGCTTGTTGATTTCTTGCTATGACTTGAGCCCTTTGGCCAAGTCTCTGACTGTCTTTTTTCCCCTCTTGGGATGTTAAGAGTCCAATACTTCCAGAGGCTAGTGGCTCTACAACTTCTTGGCCCTTTTATTAATGATGCCACTAGTTCAAGGGCTTAATGAACCCTGAGCTTGATACAGAAACCCAGGCTCAACCATTTATCTTGGGTTCCAGGCTAGAGAGCCTGTGCAAAAATGGTTGGTAAGAAACTATTCCAAACCACTTTTTTTTCCTGGACTAGTACCTATATAGTGCATGGCTGTTACTCAGGGTAACTCTGTGGTCCTGTCCCCCCATAGCCTGGGAAGCTTCTCACCAGCCCATGGCTGAAGTTTCATGATCTCAGTGGCTCCTCAGCATCTCTAGCAGGCACCCTGCCCTTCTGCTCTGCAAACCTTTTATCCCTGCAGCTTTTGTGAGTCCCCAAATCTATTCCAGCTGGGCAGACAGGCAGTCTTATTAACCCTTTAGCAGATGAGCAGCACAGGGTGTGTATACCCCAGCCAGACCCATAATGCCAAAATAGCATGGGCCTTTTCTCCTCCACCTTCAATCTTGGGAAGTCTTTTGACTTATGCAACCACTACTATTCTGATTTCAGGGAATTTTCAATTTCAGGGACTTTCAAGTCTAAATGACAATACAATGACAATACAAGGTAAAAGGCCATAGAAAACCATGTTTTGTTTTGTTTGTTTTATTGACTAAAAAAAGGGGGGGGGGAATAAAACTCAGTCAAGAGTTAGCCTTAGGTCTATAGCCATAATTTTTAAAAAAAAGCATACACAAACCTACATGAAAGAAATTGGCATACAAATTCAAAAGGCTTGAAGTCAATGTGAGGTGTGGATAATTCAAAAGTCAGGCCTCTTATTTAAATTTATTTAAAACATTCAGTTTTGAAAGTGTTATTAGCCCACATAAATGAGAGGAAAAGAAGCTGTGAGTGAGTTATACATGAACATTATTTCTACATTAGTTATATTAGTTAGGTAAATTAAAAAGCATTAAGCAAAAGCAGCAATGGGAAGGGGGGGGGTGTGCGCGTGATTGTTAATGACATGTTGACTTAATGATTGCATAGATATCAAGGGACTATTAGCAGGTAATGGGTACACAGCAAATGTAGTAAAAACACCACAACTAAAGGGTTAATTTTTGTCTTTAGTAGCTTGTAATTATTATGATCTTTACCTGACAACGCGTATCACAGTATCTGGCAACTTTGCACTGAGAGCATCTAAGCAACCGTTCATTCCTGTAAGAAACATATTGTATGAGTTACATAGAAAAATAAAAATATTTCTAAATATCTGAAGGAAAAAGGAGGCACAAAAAAGAAAAAAACTGATTGATAAACATTTTATTTTTTTATACAAAGTCAAGGCAAAAACCTAAGGGTTAAATTCTGGATTTCCTTTCTCATATTTTAATTTATTTTACTGAGTCAACAGGGCTGCTTCTGTGTTTACAGTAAGATTATCAGTGTCCATTAGACTGAACAAGAGCCTCCCAACTCTCCAATGAGATGATAAAACAAAAATCATTTGTTTTCTTGCTTTGCTACCATACGGTCCAGGAAATAAATTCTGCGTTTAATGCAGCAGAATCTCAGATTATAGTGCCACACAGCTGGAAGTTGTCCTCTTTGTAACCCAGAAACATAATAATAAGTTGCAGTGCAGAATTCAAGACCCAGACATTGTACATTACCTGTCTTAACCAAGATTCTTGCTGTGAATATATAATTGTGACACTGAGTTATTCGCAATGTAAAAGCTGACCTGGAAGTAGACACCAATGCCTTAAAAAAGACAACCTGTGATTGGGAAACAATGTGACTAATGTAAAAACTTCATCAGAAAAAGACTATTGGGGACGAAAGGGGAGAAATGAGAAGTTTGAACCAGATACGCATATGAACATTTCAATTACGATTCCGCAAAGTGCCTCCTAGATTAAGTGAGATTCCCTACAGCTGTCTTTAACTTAAGTCATATGACAAGCTGACAATTTCATTTGGGGAGAAACTATAATTTACTAATAAGAGTGTTGTACATTATTAGATGGTGTGAGGAAATATTTAGCATGCAATTATGCAGAAAATGAATCAAATTTACATGTCATAAATCAAATTCTGCTCTCAGATGCACTGGCTTTAGGATATGCATTACTGCTCATTCTTTCTGGTTTCTTAGCTGTCACAGCACTAGCAAAGAGCCCAAAGGTTTTAAATGTATATTTGAATCCATGTCTGGGGACAATCCAAAGCTACAATCCAGTGCTGGAAACCTACAGACTCAACTGTATAAAGCTCTCATTTCTAGGACCCCTAAATATCAGAACTCATAAGTCACTGATTAAGAATTGAATATTTCTCATTCAGATTTGGCCCTCTCACCAGTATAATCTAGGGGGAAAGAATTAAACATTTTGTGGTCGGTTATTAAGAAAAAGGACAAAATGATTGCTCTTTGGAGGTGCCCAGATATCTGAATGTCAGAAATAGCCCAGATGGAGATAATGGATCTGCACACACATGCCCAAAATTATCTCCATCTGGCATATTTCTGAGACACATTGTGTAATACTGATGAACATGGTCTATCAGGGATACAGGATAATCTTCATGAAATCCACCTTTTACTCCTAAAATGGGGCAAATCCTCCCTATTTATTTGAATTACATACATTAATGAGATCTTTTCTCCAGATCTTCCAAATCAAGGGCTGCACACGCTACAAAAAGTTCTATTTCCTGGCTTATCAACATGTTAACTTGGAAGTCAGTCATATACAGCAGATTTACCATACTCAATGCTACCTATTAAAAAATGTGCACAGTAACATGGATTGATTTGGAAAAGTAGAGATCTACAAACATCATATTCTATATAGTCATATAAAATTCTTGAGAATGGAAAAAATCCACAAAGAGACAAATTGTTCTGCGTTGTTGCATCATTACACAGCTTTGCAGGAATAGAAGATGATCACAGAGCCGTTAGGTCTTCCTTTATTTGGATTACAGAAATAAGGAACTTTGTTTACAAAGTGTTCTATG